GAGGAACACATGAGAACTCTGTGCTCTTTCCAACGTGTCTGTAAATTTAAAATTATTCCAAAATGAGAAGTTTATTAAAGTGGACCCATCTCTTCTCTTATCAATGCTATTGTAAGAATGAGGGGCTCCAGCAGATTAATGTAGAAGACTACTTGCGAGTTCAAGGCCTTCGATGAGTGACTTACAGGGAAATTCATAAAAACAGAACAAAATGAGATGCTTCGTTTACTTCATCTGCCGGCTGGTACACACCAGCTAGACAGGAGGAAGAAAGCAAGGGCCACTTTTTCCATCCTCTTTCACCAGGACTTCCTTGCCACCCCAGCCATCCTTGCCATCCCAGAGGCTCTACATCTACTGCCACTGACTTCTGCACTCGGCGGTCCTTCAATGCTTTCTGTCCCTCAGAGTCGCCCAGCTGCTGCCTCTGTGCTAGTAATGACAGTGGGATGGGCTTAGGCAGTGATAAACCCCAATCCAACAACCCTTATTCCAGCACCTGCCATGTCAAACCCCACACCAGCCCTGGTTAGAGCTGAAAGAATCATCCCACCTGTCATTTACCGAATATGTCCCCTGTGCCAGGGACTATGCACCCCAAATGGAACACTTTCCCCACTTTGCAGACTAAAAAACTACATCTGGGAGAAATAATGTAATTTGGCTAACTCTAAAAGCAGAACTGGCTCCAAAGCACTCTCATCTTAGTCCCCTGGCTCCCTTAAAGTCCTTCAATCACAGCTAGACAACCTGCCCATTTTACGGAGAGGTAAGTTTCAGGTCTGCCCAGAAAAAGAACTGAGGTTTTCTCACTGTGCTCTCACTGCCATCTCTGCATTCCTAAAGCTTTCTGGGCACCTATGGCCAATGCCTAGGAAGTCCAGCTGCTCCCAGACCAGACCAGTGTCCAGGGAGGCTTCTCCCTTCCCAGACAGGTACAGATTTCCTGCCTTCCACCCCCTACTCCGCGTGTCTGCAGGCGCGGCTCAGCAGGGGGTACAATTACCATCTGTGTCACTGGCATCTTTATGGAGGCATATTTAAGTCACTGCGGCACTCACAGGAGAAAGCAGGTAAATACACAGCCCAGCAAGGTGCTGAACCCAGCCTCAGGCCTGGCTGCACGAGTGGGCATCAAATAGTTCACAGCACTATGGAAAAAAGCACAGAAAGAAAGAAAAAAAAAAACTGCATCTCCCCTTTTGAGACGTTGCCAAAGGTTTTCTCAGTCTCCGAATGATGCTTTCTCAGATGATGCAATGCTCCGTAGGAGCGAAAGGCAGCCTTCACAGGCTGCTCCGGGACGGTCATGCCTGTGTCACCCAGTGGGCTGGGGTATTGGCGGAGCGGTAGCCAAGAGCTGCGTGGGCAAAGGAAGGGAATGTCCAGATGCAGGTGGCCCTGGGTGCTGACAAGATACCTGATTCCTCACCCCACCCCAGGACCCAGGCAGGGGGATGCGGTGAAGTGAGCCATCCACACTCCCCTCTGGGGCTCCCCCGTGGGAATAGAATCCCACAGACTGGATACAAACAAGGACCAGTCTGTGAGCAGAGCAAGAGCGAGCAGTCTCTTGAATTCTCGGGAAGAAACGTGAGGACCATTGGGAACCTGCTTGGATTCATTACAAATATGTCATGCTAGACACATCGCATTTTAAAAAACCAATTATTTATTTAATAAATATTTAGTGAGCATGTCTATGTGCCAAGAATTAAGCTTGGTGCTAAGGATACAGTTCTGAATGAGATAGAAAGTTCCCGGGCTGTGTCAGGGCTTAAATTCTAGTTCTGGGGGCTGTGAGGCTTGGGGAGGAGAAGACAGAAAACAAACCAATAAATACACAAGGAGATGATGGCGAGATGAGTTTTAAGACTGGGAACTGGACAGCGAGGCGGGAGTGTGTGGCAGCTGGAATGTCAGGGCAGACCTCTCTGGGGAGGTGGCATTTGTGGGAAGGGAAAGCACCGCAGGCCTGGTGGGTCAGGAGAACATTGCATGCGTGGCATTTCCGGATTTTAGCAAAGCCTTGGGAAAAACTCCTTCATGTAATATTTACTAAAATGTGTCATGTGCTTATTCTGTGGCAAACTCTGTTTCATGTGTGCATTTGACAGGCATTGTATTTGATCCTTACGAGTACCCAGTAATGGGTGCATTTTCTCTAATTTGCAGATAAAGATGTTGAGGCTCAGAGAGAGTATGACTTGCTCAAGGTGACAGAGAGATATGGAGCTGGGTTTGGACTCCCCACCCCATGCTCCGCCTGGGCTTGTCATCCCGTTCTTATGACTGTTCAGGCTGCCTTGGTCAACATGACACAGAAATGTGGGATTGACAATTCATAACTTGTGGAATGACTATTTCCAAAGCCCAATGATGACTAGGGTATCACTGTTTGAAGGGAGGTCCTCATGGTGATGGCTCAGGCTTGGGCCATCCCTGCCTTGTGCACTGGTGGCGATGATCTGAATGAGGCTCAGTGGCCAGTCTCTGGCGAGCCTCTTTCTCCAACCACCTCTGACTTTGCACCAGCTATACTAAGTTACTGGTAATTTCTGCAACACATTACGTGTTTCACACTTCCCTGCTTTTGCAAAGAATGCCTCCCCCACCCTTGTCTGGAATGGCCCCTGCATCTAGTGACCCAGATGGTGCCTACTTCTCCTCCAAGAGCCAGTGTACATGTCATCTCCTTCATGAAGCTTTCCCTGAATCCCTCCAAATTGATGTCGTGAGTCATTTGGTTTTCAATGCACCATGTATATATACGCACACACACCTAGTTGCCCTCCCAGCAGCCATAGCCCTGCTTGTTCTTTGCTAACAAAGGAACAATTTTGATTAAGTGCTAATGTGCTCAGAGAAGACTGGCCTTTCCCCAGAGGATGAATCATAATTAGCCAAACTCATTCCTCTTAGCCAGGTACTGCCTTAGTGGTGCACACGGAGTCCAGTCCTGGCCAATGGGACCTGCCAGGAGGAGGATCTGGAAAAGTTTTTCTTCCCCAATAAAAAGGGAAACGCATAGGGAGAAAATGTCCCCTTTGTTCTTGCCTTTGAGCACTGTCATTTTTGGAAGTCATAAATAGTGCTGCAGTAGCCATCTTGCAGTCCGGAGGGGAAGGTCCAGGGAGTGGCAGTGAGGCCACCCCAGACCCTGGCATCATTGAGCTGCTGAACCACCTAATCTGGGAACTGCCCACCTCCAGGCTTCTTGCTGTCTGGGATCATAAACCCTTCGGTTGACACCACTTTCACTTTGGTGTTTGTTGCTTAAGGCTGCAAGCATCCTGACTGATGCCCCAAAGTTCCGCCTTTGTGATATGTTTTCACTTTGGGTCTGTTTTCTTGTCCAGTTCTTCGCAATGGAAACCCCTTGAGGGGACCCATTCTTTTATCAAAGAGTCTCCAATATTCAACACAAAATCTAACACACAATGGGTGCCTTGCTCAGTAAATAAATGAAAGGATGGCAGGAAGGAAGGGAGGGAGGGAAGGAGGAAAGGAAAGGCTAAGCCGGCAGATGGCATGAAGTTAGGAGGCAATGTAAATACTTTGGATCCAATAATTGAGGTCTGCAAAGAGAGGAGCAGATGGAGTCAAGAGCCAAACACACAGAGATGGGATTAAAGTGAGATCAGACTGGTCTGATTCTTAGTCCCACACTTGCAGCGGAGGCAGGGAGGAGTGCACTACTCAGCAGTAACTGGACATAGGCCAGCACCATTGTGAGACCAATTGCTTTTGGGATATGGGCAGGGATGATGTGCAGATAACTACTGAATGGTCCCAGCATGTGGAGAGAAGAGCTGTGGGGCAGGGAGTTGCACTGTGGTTGGGAGTGACCATGTCATCAGGCCTAGTCTGGGAAGCTTCCTCAGACCCTCTTGTCTGTCACCACTGCTAGGCAGAAGGGCTTTGCCTCAGTGCTGAAATACTCCTGGCCATTTTGACACCCTAAATGCATTTCTCAAGTCCTTTTCAGCTACTTCCTGGTTCTTCATGCACCTCCTTTCTCAACATCTCTCCCTGGCCTCAGCAGGTGTCTTCCTGCATAGAGGCCATGTGACCCTCCCTGGGCGTGGGGGGGTGTTGCAGAGCAGGTACATTGTGGCATTGGGGACAGCAGCCTTTTCTTCTCTTTCCTTGAGGCACCTCTCCTTCCCTGGTGGCAGCCACATCAATTCCTCAGCTGAGTTCTCTGTCCCGAGGGACTGCCACTCAAGATGGCCACTCCTCCTGAGTGGCAGCTGCAGGGCAGCGCATGGCCTCCCAGAGGAGCCGGGCTGGAGGCCCCTGGGCTATGCTGACTATGATCCTTGGTGATTGTCTGCCTTTGGGTCTCAGCTGCCACATTGGCACATGAAGGCACCCATAGACTTATCATGAGTTTTAAGTGGGACAACGCATAGAAGAGGGCCGGGGCTGGCTTCGTGAACATCCTGTGCTCAGAAAGGCCCTACACGTAGTTTAATGTCCTGCTCGCATCTGTTGAAATTCTTGGCAAGTTTTGAACAAGGGGTCCACATTTTCATTTTGGGCCCTTCAAATTATGTAGAAGGCTTTGAAAACCAAAATGCATCATAAAACTATGCAGTGGGTAACTATTGTTAATAATGATAATAATACAAATATTCACATTATGTAAAGGATATGTACGTGGAGGGGCTTTTCTGGAAGGCTAGAAGGCTGAGGCAGCATGGGGCTCTCCTCTCACTCCCCGTGTCCTCAGCCGGGTCCGCCAGGGCTCCAGGGCACTCACTCTTCATTCCTGGGTTTGGACTCTCTTCTAATTCTGCACGTGGTCCGACAGGCTGGACAAACTTCTGCGAGTCCCCTCCCCCTCTGGGCGCCACTTAAGTGACCTGCATAAAGCGGGGCTCAGCTCAGTCCCCAGGCGACTTCTCCCCCTGCCGCCCGGCACCTGTTGAAGGCCGGCCCCGTTGAGCCTGGCCGAGCAGCTCTGCCCCTAGTGGGAGTCGGAGGCATAAACTCCCTTTCAGGAAGACCGGGTTAGAGCCACTGCCACCTGCTCCTGCCGCCTCTGCTGTCCTCAGCCTCCGCGAGCATCTTAGCAGCCAGCCCTGGGTGAGGACAGGGCCCACTGGTGCACCTGGCAGGGCAGGGTGGACACCCTGACTTGGGAGCTTCTGAGGAGCAGGGGCGGGGCTGCTCAGAGGGGAAATCCTTAGGTTGGGATCCAGCCTTTATTTAATCAGGGGGATCGTGTATAGACCTGTGACTGCTCAGCAAATGTCCACCTCGGTGTGTGCGTGTGTGCTTATGTGTGTGTGTGAGAGAGAGCGTGTGTCAGTGCCCAGTATACCCCTCTATACAAGCGCGTGTCTGTTAGTGGACTCCATCCAGTGTGTGGTGTTCCTTCTGTGGGCGACTATACCCAGGCGTGGGTCTGTCGCTGTGTGCCGTGTGGAGAGGTGCACTAAGCTGGTAGCAGAGCCCTGAGTGTGCAAGCATGGGAGATGGCGCCAGTGTATTTTTCTGTGTAGGACTGTCCCAGATAGTGTGAGTGTGTGTGTTCCAGCACGTGCTTGCCTCTGAGAGTGTGTGTGCCTGAAGGTGTGATCGGCAGTATCCAGCTCTGCATGGGACGGTGACACAGTGTGTGTCTGTGTATTTGTATCAGAGTGCTACAAGCTGTGTGGCTGTGTGTGTATGCGTGCACCTGTCACGGTGGCCGAGTGTGTTTCTGGGTGAGTGGGGCAGAGCTCAGAGACAGAGTGTGTGTATGTGTGAGTGTGGGTGTCAGTGTGTCTGTGAAACAGTGATTCAGTGTGTATTTGTATCAGGCAGTGTGCGTCTGTCATTGTGTGTCTGCATCAGAGTGAGTGTGCGGCGTGCTCCTCGGCGTGGCAGTGCCCAGTGTGTCTGTGTGTCTGTGTGGGGGTGTGAGCGCCGTGGTGTGTGCATGAGAGCCAGTGAGGCTCGATGCAAGGCTATGGCTGTGTGTGTGTGTGTGTGTGTGTGCGTGCACCAGAGTGGGTGACAGCGTCTGTGCTTGGCAGTGGCGCGTGGCCCGCCCCATGTGCGTGTCTCCCGGGCCGGGGCAGGGTGCGGGCCCCCGCGGGTGAAGCCGCGACCCCTCCCCCGGGCAGCGGGCGGCGCGCGCGGGCGCCTCTAGGACCCGGTGGCGGCCGGCCGCTGTCGCCGGGCCGCGCGAGTGAGCATGTGCAGAGCCGGGCGCCCGCTCGCCCGCTCGCCCGCTCGCCGCCCGCCGCCCGCCGTCCGCCGCCAGTTC